AAGTAAATAAGTCATTAAATCGTGCAATTAAGGCAAATTAGATAATCCTTAACATCTGTAATTTCTGTTAATTTTAGTTGAGGTGGTTGATGTTGTACCTATGATTTTGATGATTACAAAACACATTTGAATGACTAATTAGTTTATTTAAGTGTGTAATTAAATTGTTAAAAAATTGCAAGTAAACTTAGATTACACTAAAAATAGACCGAAAGGATTGAAAATGTACAGAGAGCCAGCTCTTGAAACCTGCAGCCGGTTCTGTCAAATGGAAGTGTAGAAAGCCAGCTTGAAAAGATTGCAGCCGGCTGTGGAAGTGCAGAGAGTCGGCTCTGGAAGCTGCAGCTGACTCTATGGGCAAAAATTTGAAGATTGTTGTTTGGCGCGTGGATAAAAGACGCAAAGCTGGCTTTAACTTTTCAGTTGGCTGTAAGGGTGCATTTAATACTCAACAGTCAACTTATTTGAAGAATAATTAATATTTTTAAAGTCGAAATACCAAAGCTGGCTTTACGTTTTTGCAGCCGATTATTCAAGAAAAATAGAATGTGCAGGAAACCCGCAAAGCTAGTTTTGCGTTTTGCAATCGGCTCTACGGAGAAAACAGAATGTGCAGGATCCTGCAAAACCGGCTGCAGGAATGGTAAGCCGATTGTGGAGAGCCGGTTCTAGAAGCTTATGCCGGTTGTACTAACAGCTCTGCAACTCGAACCATGTATTCTGCAGAGCATTAAATGACCTCTTAACGGCTAGTAACGACTATTTTTTATCATGGGATTATAAATATAGTTGGTAAAAGATCTGGAGCAAGTTTAGAGAGCATTGCATTGAATATCTTTACCTACCTACATGAGCTCTAACTTGAGTTTTTGATCTTTGAGAAATCTTTACTTGTAATCTTCTTCTTGTTCTATTTGTGCGTGATTTTGTGGGTGTGATTAATCCTTCAAGAGTGATCTGTAGAAAGGATTGTTTGAGTTTATCTTGTAAATGGGTGAGATTTGAGAGAAACACCATTTTTCTTGTAAAAGGATTGCGTGACTCCTTTAAACCACCATTGATTTTGTTAGTGGAGAGTGTGGAGGAAATCCTTAGTTAGTGAAGCTAAAGTAGAGGACTAGATTCCAAGTGATTGGACCGAACCACTATAAAATCATTGAGCAAGCTCTTTTTCTCAACTCTCTTTAATTTTGGTGGTGTGATTGTAAAAGGGGAAAATTTTTAAAACTCCAATTCACCCCCTTCTTAGAGTACATTGAGTCAACCGTTGATAAAAAAATCACTATTATTAATCCACATTTATTTTAATATGTGCTTGTATGGTAGAAATTAAGACTATAATAATAATTATTTTTTATATTAATTAGTATTGTCAAAAAATATTATTAATTTTGTTATTATTATCATGTAAATCATTTTAACTAAATAATTATTTAAATAAAAGTTAATTTTATTTTTTTAATATTCATTAATATTACTCCTAAACTTGTGCGCACAAAATTAAAAAAAAAACCTTTAAAAAATGAATTCTTTCAATTTAATTATTAATTTCATTTAATTCTCACATTAATACACTAAGATCAAGTGTTCCTTTTAATTATTCGCATTATTTAATATGTTAACAAAGGGTTAATTGCTGCAATTTGCGCGGTTTGAAGAGCTAATTGCTTGTTTTTATTTCAGGGGCTATATGCTAAAATGGGATAAGTTTGAGGATTTATGAAATGGTTTCGCCGAGGACAGAGATTTCTTAATCAGGCTCAGCCCATTCTGCTGTTCTGTGTCCATACCTGATGGAGAGAGCGGGTGGAGTAGACCCAAGGCCCACCACAACACATATGAAAGGGTAAAATCAGTTGGGCCCATAATTGTCTCTCTTTGTTTTTATATACATTGAAAGTTTTTCTTTTACATAGAGCTTTAAACTCTTAATCTTAATTTTAAATTAAAAAATTTAAATTAATGAATATTAATTTGATTAAGTTTTTATTAGTTTGTCTCTCGGATTAGGAGGTTGGAAGCAATTTAAACAAAATATAACAATTTTTGTTATGTAAAAATTAAAAATTAAGTGATGAAAAAAATAAATAACTCTACCAGAGCATATCACCGAAGTACGTGAGGATGATGAACTATATTTACTTATTCTTACTTCACCTAACCATTAAAAAAAAAAAAAAAACATATTTTAACCATTTTATTGTAATGCCAACTTGCCAACTTTTGGAAAAGCCCACAAAAGTCCTTCATCAGTCTTCTTTTCGGTATATAATAATCTACCAAAACCGAAATTAGAAATTAATAATCGCCCCGTTGAATTAGGTCTTGATACTATTTTGGCAAATTCCAGCTAATGACTCTCTTTTTACTTTATTCTAATGTTTATTATGTTATTCCTATGAAGGAAGAAAGATTTGCTTTTCATTGACTACTAATATTTGATTAAGTTGGCTCATAAATATATTTTGACTGTTAAAAAAAATTAGGTATTACAGGAAGTTGAGAAAAAAAAAGAAGAAGATGGGTGAAGTGAATTTAAATGATTATAAACATTGAAAAACTACTTTTACAGTAGCAAAAATCAATCAATATTTATTTTGTATAAATTATGAAAAAAATTAATAAAAATAAAATAAAATTATATATATTATTGTAATATAAAACATAATACTTTTCATATTTCTCCATTAAAAAACTCTATAGTCTATACATTATGAATACTTTGCGTAAAGAGGTGGAAAACGCTAGTTGGGATATAAGAAAGGCGAGAAGATGCACAGGGGGCCTAGAAGTTAAAACCCTGGTGGGATGGGTGGAGGCCCTGGAGGGTCTACAGTATACCGTCTACACACTCTGTTAGTACTCTCGGTTCGTATCTGAGACTTTCCAATTTCAACTTGAATTAACTAATTTCACCTAGGGCTGGGCGCGCAACCAACAATCGCACCAAAATTGAGCCTGCGGTGCGGGCACAAACAGGTTTTGGGTCCAAGAATACGGTTTCAAACCTCAACCGTTTATAGTCGGTGCAGTGTTCGGTTCCAAAGCCCAAAAACCAAACAACCAAATAATAAACCCGAAAACATATATTTTTTTTCAAGAAAATATAAAATATATACCCTAAAAAACAAACCCTAATTTCATGTATTCCCTCCCCTAGAAATTTTCATCTACCACCTCTCCCCTCCGCCAAAATCTTTCCCCCACCCCAATTTAGAAAATTTCAACCATTCCGCCTAATGTCCTAATGAAGTACTCATCCTTTAAGCTTTTAATCTCTCATATTTCCTTCTCACTTCACTTTCACTTTCTTTTTTCTCACTTCTTCTCCTCATTCGCTCCCTTTCACAGCCAAAATCTCATCTATTTTTACTATAAACTCTCTTCATCATCCATCTCTTACCCCAATTTGCTTTGGCTTCAGTCATTTCTCTGCAGTGCATCACAAAAAATTTGAAATCAAAAGCCCTACTAAGATTAGATCTCCTGTCATCAAGGCTTTTCTCTTTCCTTTCTTTCTTTATTTGGTGTGTATGTGTCTATGCTTATAGCTATTGTGCAAAGACTAGATTTTAGTTTGGAATTGGGTCGCTTTTCTTTGGGAAAGTATGGGTCGCTTTATATATATATA